TCCTGGCTTGTTCCTGCTTGATTTTTCATGAGACCAGCATGTATCTTTTTAGCTTTGTCATAAATAATTGCATCTGATACGATGTCACCAGCACACTGTTTTTCAGTTATCCAAAGCAAAAGCAATTTCTCAACATGATCTAATGTCTTTGATCTCTGTTTAGAAATTGATTTAACCCCTTTTGCAATGTTAGCAGATTTAATAATGTCTTTATTTTTCACGATTGTCGATATCGTTGTTCTCGGAATATGGTATGCAACAGTTAAAATCTTGAACATGCATGCCACCTTCATATTTCTCAACAATCTTTTATCAGTTCCATTGTGATTCTAGTCATTTTTTTAGTTTTCTGTTGCTTTTCATTTGCCTTTTTGCAATTCATGATTCATAAAAATAATAAAATTTCACATACAAATTAAAACCAGAAGAAATTTAACCAAGTTATAAACCATTGCACTGCGAACGTCTAGTCTGGTCGAGTACACCAATAGTGCTACTTGTTCGTAGATGGCACGTATAATTGAATTAAGTTGTATATCAAGCAAAATATGTTTCGTCCAAACATATTTTGCTTGATTCCAAATTGGACATATTCTAAAGCAGACATATACCGAGGTACCACTGTATTATTGAAGGATGACAATATTTGTCTAAATATTAAGTTCTTTTTCTTTAGACAAACAGGTGAATTACACATTAGGAATTATACTTTGGATTTTACTTATTTGTTAACAGATTAACCATTTAAATATAATAATTCCAATAAAATATATCCAGAAAATTATGCATCTTTAATTTTACAGAATTCAATCTATAGTATGAAGCTGTGCTTTTCAATCCTTTGAAAGAATTTAAGAATATCTTCAGGTTCAGCATACAATCCATACAAATAAATTCTAATTAAAATTTTTGGGCTGCAATTTGAAAAAAACTGTAGAGCTATAAATTCCCACTGTCATTTGTTTGTCTGTATTTCCTTAGTCTTGAGAACAGAGTTATATATATAGCTATATGGAGGAAAGAATAAGTGGCAGTTACCCTAGGGTATAGCCATGGAAAGAAGGTGAAAGGGGAAAGAGGGAGGGAAGGAAAGGAGGAAAAGAAGAGAGCTCAAACTTGCATGCCCATATCATTTGATATACAAAATAAAATACAAAATAGATTGACTTTGAGACCAGTGGCACAGTGCTGAGTACATAGGAGCGTGTGTACACAATTACTACAATAATACAAAATTCCTGATTTAACTATGAATTACCACTAGTATGGCTGCCCGTCCACACACAAATGCTATACATTGGGCAGGAAGAAGAACATGTAGAAAATAAACCGACCACATATGATTACAATACATTGTAATATATAATAGTAGAACAATATGTAGATGCAGTCCATGCAAGAGTTGTCTAAGTATTGGCATCATGCTTGTTAGGTAATGTTCTTTTTTGCTTGTCTTGCCGTACTTTACTCATGGCTTTCATTGAAAATCTGACAAATGCTGTGAAGATACTTCTGTTGTTGAGTAGGGATTTGAACAGACAAGGCCAGGCAATTTTTTCCCTGATGGTAGAAGTGATCAGATCTCTGCATATCTGATCTAACTGCAGGCAGTCAAAGATAATGTGGAAAGGTTCCTCCAGGGTGGAGTTGTCACAAGGGCAAGTGCCTCCATCCTGCTTTAGGAACTGGACAAAATAAGACCCAAACCCACTATGCATCACCACTTCTCTCATCCATCACCCCGATCATCTGCTTATCTACACTGACGGGTAGATACCCAATCAACGTTTCGTCGGCAAGGTTTCAGTCTACCGATGTGGGCCGCTATTGCAACAATCAGGATAACTTTTGGNGAAAAGTCTTGAATATATCGATACATACTATCTTAAGCCAGAAAGGGGTAGTATAGTCCTCCATCTTTGTATTTCCATGATAACTGCTTGAGTATAAGGTAAACGTATTCTATCCTCCCAAACTGGGTGTTCGGTACCGAAAACTGCATCTATTTCTTCCTGAACTTTTCTCTGAATTTTGGGATACGCTGCTAATGCTAATATGGTCCACGATAATGATGCAGCTGTAGTATCGAACCCAGCTGCTAATATTGTGGCCATATTACCGACATAACCTAGAACTAAATTTATGCAAATTGTAATAAAGTAGTTATGAAATAAAACTGAATCCTCTAAACTTACCGGTATAAGGTGATTCAGGACTATTTTTACTTTTCTCTACTTCATAGATATAAGCTTCCGAAATATTCTTAATATTTTTATTATCGTATTCTTTAAAAATACTATCAAATTCTGCACTGTAAAGAAATAACTGAAGTAAGTATCATTAATCAGAAAACTGATCACATTGTATAATGCTTACATTAGTTTTTCATAAACGGCTGTCATTTTCTTCATGAAAGGACGATTCATTCCAAGAGAAACAAGATGCAAAATTTTAATCCAAGGGATAAATAAACTATAAGAAATCATGCCCAAATATTTTGTGTATATTTCAATAAACTCTTCGATAGTTTTCTTTGTAGGATCATGATAATCGAACCTTACACCTGACACAAAACTGAAGATAACGTTAGTTATGCTGGATAATGAAAGTTGGTGGAAGTTGAATGGACGACCTTTACTCTGAGCCAATTCTCGTAACAGCAGCAGTATTTCTTCCTACACAAAAATTATGATTAGCCTATATGAAACTGATGATTATGAATTTTTCTTTGTAAAATTAAATGTGAAAAGAAGTCACCTCAATTGCTAAATCATATCTTTCGTTAAATATCCTCAAATTATTAATGACAAATCGGCGATTTTCGACCCATTCTTCTCCACTGGACATTCCTATACCTGTAAAAAAATTAATTTTACAATTCTTTCGATTTTATAATCTTTGTTGATATTTTACACAAATGATCGACCCACCTCTAAGTTTAAAAATGAAATCAAAAGCAGTGATTGGAGGGCGACCAAGTAAGGCTGATTTACTATACGCTTCTTTCATCACATCATAACTAGATAATACTACTATTCTCTTGCTTCCAAGAAGAACACTGAAAATGTTACGATCAACATTTTATATGTATAATTGTATAAAAAAATTAATTAAAAACAAGTATTAAGCCATACCTGAAAATCCCACCGTATTTCAAACGAAGTTTATAAAGTTTTAAATGTGCTTCTTCACCAAGAAAAGGCAAATAACCTACAAAGGGCAGACCCGAAGGACCAGGAGGAAAATTTTTCGGCCTCGAAAAGTAATTTCTTAAAACATTAATTATTGTCAATATAACCACAACCAAAATAGAAACAAAATAATAATTCCAAAAGTTTGACATGGTGTCAATAATTTATATGTTAACCTTGACGTTCTGTTGTCTTGTAAATTAACTTCACTCGTTGTTTTTCATATTTATAAGTTATAAACACTAATCAATTAAAAATTTTCCTTCCCTGTGAAAATTAGTAAGATAAGTAATTAATTAATATATTACAGTTGTTCTTCCTTATTTCACCAAAGCTTCCTTATTACATCTAAAGTTTCCTTATTTATAAATAGTAGTTAGGATTTTTGTTTTTTTAAAAAAAAGCAATCAAAAGATTAAGTTCAAATACATTTAATTTTACAATTTTACTTGATAGTTATCATTAAAGTTAGAAGGAACATTTAAATACTGTAAGATTGATTGGTGATATGAAAATACATAAAACATCCCTTACTAGTATTTTTTCTAATATAACAATCTTAGATGAATATATACTCACTTTTCAGTCTTTTTAATAATTGAATAGAAACGAGTTCCTAACATAATTTATAGCTAATAAATAATCATGGTTTTGTCTGAATATTTAAAGTTTCTATAAGGTTCCCAGTTAATTTTAAACTAAAAATGAATTAGAAAATATTAAGTAGTATGTTTTACAAAATAATTAACTTTTGTGAATTAAAAGTGAAATATGTATGACAAAGTAATTCTGACAAAAATATTATAAAATAATTGTTTAATATATTGACAGTTATACACATACATATTAAATTTTATTCAGTATAATTTAACAGAGTTCTTAAATATTTAAAATAATTTTCATTTTCTGTCCAGGAATCTTTAATGATTAATGTAAGACATGCAAAACCATTTGTTTACTTATTTTGCAAGTCTTATCTTGGTCATCAAAGTATGAAACCAATTTTGCAGTTTCCTAACAGAAAATGTAAATTAAGAAAGGCAACTCATTAGTACCAGATTAAAAAATAACATTTAATCACAAAATCTATAAGAATGCTTTACATAACGAGTGTAATTAATAATAATAATTAGTTTAGTTGAATAGTTATATGGACAACATTTATTCTTCCATTCAAATTTAACAAAAATATTTTTCATCTGTTTTAAGAAATCATTATAATTAAATTACTGATTTAAAATTTTTTATAAAATACTTTTATATCAGCAGATTTGATTCGAAATATACAATAAATTTTATTGAACATTAAAAAGTAAATATAACAACTGTTACATTTATAAAGACAGTAATCCTACTAAAATTTTCAGTGTACTAGCATATTACATCTATAATTCAGGATTATTTTGTAAAATACTGCTAGAAGGAAGGATCTAAATAATTTCAAAAAATAATTTTGAGAATTCTTTAAACTAAGTAATCAGATTATAATGTTTATAGAAATATTGATAACAAACAAAATTAAAATAGATGAAAGCTTTCTTTAAAGAATTAATATAATTTTTATTATTTATTGTTTAAGTATTTTGGAATTTTTGGAATAATTATTTATTTAGTTAGAATGGAATGTATTGTACTTGATGGAATGTATTGTATTGTAGTTGATTAATTTAAATTAATGTATTCAATTTAATCTAAAAATACTTTCACTTTCCTGACTGTTAAAGACTGATAACCATACTTTCCTTATGTTATAATCAAATTTTGACCTTTTGGTTTTTTGTGCATTTCTTGACATTTCAACATTCCAGGAGAAAAAAAAATCCTTACGAAATTTGTATTATATCTCAGAAGAGAATAAACCAAAAATTTTGAAACTTGGCAGGTTTATTTCTATATATGAAGTATTGAAGACATTAAATTTTGGTAGTTAATAGTCAAAGAGTGGGAGATAATAAAGGGTCACCTGTCATATCTTGATTGAATACAGACTTAATGAAAGTTTCACTTGTTATTAGCATTTAAAATTTCTTTTATTTTCAAGAATAGGACTGAGTTTTTAAATTTTTTTTAATAATTAATAAAATCTCATAACAGATGACACCACAACTTTAATTTTAAAATAAAACTTTCTGGTTTTTATTTTTCTTTATTTGAAGAATGTATTTAGAAAATTCATTATTTAGATATTGCTTTATAATTCAAGTAATGTGTAAAAAATACTGTAATTATTTCATTCATTTCCAAATTATTGAAGAAGGATTGTAGTCATTTGAATTTCTTAATACTGTATTTAGATTAGAATGATAATTTTAAAATGTTTTCAATTATTTTCAAATACAATTTACTATTTATATAAAATTCATGACTAATTTGTAGTGGATAACATTAAATGATACATAACAATAATCACTTAGCAAAATTAGCTTTCAAATATAAAATTTGTAGAAAGACAAATCATTAAAAAAGTAAGTAGAGAGAGCAAAATATTGAGCTTAAACAGAATAAGTTCTAAGATAAAAATCAAGAATTGAAGCAAAAGCTGTAATAAAGCATAGCCCATCTCAACTGTATTGCATTGCTTGGTGCAATGTGTAGACACAATACACACAGAATTTGTTGTTATTGCATTTTTCTGTATGGTCATGAATAACAGAAGACTGGTGTTCTGACATATGAGGTAATATTTCATAATTTCCAATTTTATAAAAATCTGAAAATTGTAAAATGTGAAATGAAAGTGAATAAAACACATTTTATACAATGCATTTTAAACTAGCTAAAATGTAATTTTGTTACAGTGCAATAATGAGTCAATAGTTTTAAATATTTTATTTACAGAATAAATAAAAACTAAAATGTTTAAAACATATCCAAAAATTTTCTTATCTATAAATCTTTGAAACAGCATAAAATCAGAATCTATTAAATGAGTTATTCAAAATATAAAATGTTTTTGTCTCTCAAAACTTTTATGAAATATACTTGACTTGTTGATATGTGCTTCTTGTCTTTAATTACTTATATTTTTGTTGACATTCTTTTGAACTAAGACTTGTTACACTGAGGAAAGAGAAACACACAATTTCAAATTAAAACATATTTAATGTAACGTAATCTCGTATGCCACTACAATCCAGCATTTTGGGCCAACGCCCCTCCTCAATGGACATTACCTCTTTTTAATTGCAATTAAATTAATGTGTAATTTTTAATGCAAAAGTTTTAAAAAATATCTTACTCAAAATATTTCATTTACAATTTTATATTTTAATATACCCATATACAGTATTTCTTTTAACATTTTCAGAATAGACTTTTAAACCACCATTTTTTAAAATTTCTCAAATGTTTTCCTGTTTATTACAATGCAATGTTTTCCTGTTTACTACAGTGCATTGTAATAAACAGGAGGAAAACATTTGAGAAATTTTACTGGTAAGATCTGTAATCAGTAAGGAAATTATATCAGCAATTTAGAATTAATTAATTTGTTGATTTTAAAGGAAAAATTTTAAAAAAATAGTGGTTTAAAAGTCTATTCTGAAAATGTTAAAAAGAAATACTGTATATGGGTATATTAAAATATAAAATTGTAAATGAAATATTTTGAGTAAGATATTTTTTAAAACTTTTGCATTAAAAATTACACATTACTTTAATTGCAATTAAAAAGAGGTAATGTCCATTGAGGAGGGGCGTTGGCCCAAAATGCTGGATTGCCAAAACACACAATTTAAAATTAAAATATATTTCTCTTCCTTAGTATGGACATTCTTGTGAACTAGGACTTATTACATTAAGCTAATACTTTTGTTAACTTTATCGGGTTTCAATGGTCGTGTATATTTAAAAATATAATACTTGATTTGTTGCACCAAGCCTTTCAATTGTTCATAATAGTTAGACAGACAGATATTAATGGGGCCCACCCAGTGGCCAAGTAGAGTTTTCCAGGTTTTCTTCATATCTGTAATGCCTGAATAGGGGCCAGTTACCCTTAAAAAGACCTCCCGGAAGGCATCCATCTTGGGCAGATCACCCAAATGTTGTGTTGCCATAACTTAATAGAACAAACAGATATTAATGCATAGTTTATATGAAAAAATATAAATGTAATCATCAATTATATCATTGTTAAATATATCATTTTTAAAAAATATAATTTTAGTTTTATTTATGCTTTTAATAATATGATCATAAGCATATTTTTAAATTTGTTAGATGCATTAACATTTTACTATCCAGAAAGTTTATCAGAAATAGTTCTGTAAAATTTCAATGTAATAATTTCAAAATTTCATTAGAAAATTTTATGATGATATAATTATTCCAAAAATATTTAAACAATTCATAATAATTAATTTGGTTCCATATAAAATTATTATTAATTATTTAAACAAATTAGTCATAATTTTAAAACTATAGATGGAGAATCATATACACCAAGTGGAATTATCATCAAACTAAAGATTATATAGTGGAACCTCGGTATACGACCTTAATCCATTCCTGATGTTTGGACTTATACCGAATTGGACATATACCAAACCAACCTTTCCCAAAAGAAGTAATGTAAAAATGATTAATCTGTTCTCATGTAAGAAAAAAAAATGGCTGCCTTTAAACACTTCTCTTTCCTGGCTTGTTCCTGCTTGATTTTTCATGAGACCAGCATGTATCTTTTTAGCTTTGTCATAAATAATTGCATCTGATACGATGTCACCAGCACACTGTTTTTCAGTTATCCAAAGCAAAAGCAATTTCTCAACATGATCTAATGTCTTTGATCTCTGTTTAGAAATTGATTTAACCCCTTTTGCAATGTTAGCAGATTTAATAATGTCTTTATTTTTCACGATTGTCGATATCGTTGTTCTCGGAATATGGTATGCAACAGTTAAAATCTTGAACATGCATGCCACCTTCATATTTCTCAACAATCTTTTATCAGTTCCATTGTGATTCTAGTCATTTTTTTAGTTTTCTGTTGCTTTTCATTTGCCTTTTTGCAATTCATGATTCATAAAAATAATAAAATTTTACATACAAATTAAAACCAGAAGAAATTTAACCAAGTTATAAACCGTTGCACTGCGAACGTCTAGTCTGGTCGAGTACACCAATAGTGCTACTTGTTCGTAGATGGCACGTATAATTGAATTAAGTCGTATATCAAGCAAAATATGTTTCGTCCAAACAGGACATATTCCAAATTGGACATATTCTAAAGCAGACATATACCGAGGTACCACTGTATTATTGAAGGATGACAATATTTGTCTAAATATTAAGTTCTTTTTCTTTAGACAAACAGGTGAATTACACATTAGGAATTATACTTTGGATTTTACTTATTTGTTAACAGATTAACCATTTAAATATAATAATTCCAATAAAATATATCCAGAAAATTATGCATCTTTAATTTTACAGAATTCAATCTATAGTATGAAGCTGTGCTTTTCAATCCTTTGAAAGAATTTAAGAATATCTTCAGGTTCAGCATACAATCCATACAAATAAATTCGAATTAAAATTTTTGGGCTGCAATTTGAAAAAAACTGTAGAGCTATAAATTCCCACTGTCATTTGTTTGTCTGTATTTCCTTAGTCTTGAGAACAGAGTTATATATATAGCTATATGGAGGAAAGAATAAGTGGCAGTTACCCTAGGGTATAGCCATGGAAAGAAGGTGAAAGGGGAAAGAGGGAGGGAAGGAAAGGAGGAAAAGAAGAGAGCTCAAACTTGCATGCCCATATCATTTGATAGACAAAATAAAATACAAAATAGATTGACTTTGAGACCAGTGGCACAGTGCTGAGTACATAGGAGCGTGTGTACACAATTACTACAATAATACAAAATTCCTGATTTAACTATGAATTACCACTAGTATGGCTGCCCGTCCACACACAAATGCTATACATTGGGCAGGAAGAAGAACATGTAGAAAATAAACTGACCACATATGATTACAATACATTGTAATATATAATAGTAGAACAATATGTAGATGCAGTCCATGCAAGAGTTGTCTAAGTATTGGCATCATGCTTGTTAGGTAATGTTCTTTTTTGCTTGTCTTGCCGCACTTTACTCATGGCTTTCATTGAAAATCTGACAAATGCTGTGAAGATACTCCTGTTGTTGAGTAGGGATTTGAACAGACAAGGCCAGGCAATTTGTTCCCTGATGGTAGAAGTGATCAGATCTCTGCATATCTGATCTAACTGCAGGCAGTCAAAGATAATGTGGAAAGGTTCCTCCAGGGTGGAGTTGTCACAAGGGCAAGTGCCTCCATCCTGCTTTAGGAACTGGACAAAATAAGACCCAAACCCACTATGCATCACCACTTCTCTCATCCATCACCCCGATCATCTGCTTATCTACACTGACGGGTAGATACCCAATCAACGCTTCGTCGGCAAGGTTTCAGTCTACCGATGTGGGCCGCTATTGCAACAATCAGGATAACTTTTGGTGATCAGGCACATGTTCCCATTACCTTTTAAGTGGTAAAAATTTTTCAAGAATCGGGGCAGTCGTTTTTGAGAAATTGTTGTTTTAGTGTTACAACACGTGGCCTGGAACAAAGGCTATTGTTCATACCGCTCAATCCAACCCTAACCCAGAGACCCTAATTTACCCTAACCAGAGATTTGTGTGTCCTAGCGCACTTGTCATATTTCTGGTTCCCTCATCCATCACCATTACAGTGCACCATCTGCCACCCCAATCATCAAATTTACTTTTTGGTCTAATTATAAACATGTATGCAAGTGTACCAGGCACTCTTTCTCGTAAACAATTCTTTTATACCAAAAAAATAAATAATATATGTACAGTACACATATAATAATAAATACAGTATTGAGTTATTAATTATGTAGTTACACTTAAGCAATTTATAAATTCAAGTTATGTAAAGATCTATGGTCCACATTACTTATAAAACTCAGGGTATTACTGCACTTCTGTTCTTCACTCTTCTAGCTGTTTACCTGGAAGTGCTGCCTTAGGCCAACCAATATAAGTAAAGGGCATGTGATTGGTGTCTGTCCAAAGAAATCAGTGTCATTTTCTCAGGAGAGTGTGAGGATAGGTAGAGAATATGGACTGTTGTCCAGTAGTGGAAAAAGAAGATAATCCATTTCCATCAAAGTCAGATTATGCAATGTATTATATGGTTGATACTGAATTCCAGATTTCTCAAAAATATTAGTCCTTTTTTGGTTTTTGGATGTCTTGTACAGATAGTCAACAATGGATGAATGATGTTCTCTCTATGGATGATTGAGAGAATACTTGGTTACAGGCATCATTCAAATTTTTAGTGAGAAATTTTTGTGGAAAGAAGGAAGAAAAACTCCTTTAAAAGTCAGAGAGAAAATAAAGGGTGGAAGTGTTGCCAATTGTTGCTTTTTGCTCCCTTAATTTTCAAAAATATATTAATACTAACTAATTCATTTCCTTGTTTTGGACTCTAATTAGCATAAGATTTAGGTTTACATCTTAGATTTTAAGTTTAGGTTAACAACTCAGCAGTGAGTAATGACTATAGTCGTCAAGGGCAATCGTGTGGCAGTAGTGAGGGACAACTATACTCGTCAAATTCTTTTGGGTGGTATCACCAAAAACTAGCCTAAAACTACCGCAAAAAAAAGTTCACATAAAAAATGAATTTTTTAACAAGAAGAAAAGACTTTTCTTTACTAGACATAACTGTTTACAAAATCTTTTTCCATAACAGTAATGAGAAAAAACACGTGGAAAAATACTTTAAAAATTTTCCATGTTTATTCTCCACTACTAGGGGTAGAACCATACCCAACTAGTCTACTGTTGAAAGGTTAAGGTTTTTCACAAGTGATGTCACTGTTGATTATATATTTTTTTCTTTTTTATATAGCCTAAGTAAAATTGTTGTTATTGTATAATTTAGTAAAAAGAAAAAAATTTATCAATTTACATCAGATGAATTTTCTTGCTTCTTTTATTTTCCTCAGAAACAATATAACTTAATAAGAAATTATAATGGATGAGAAGACCAAACTAGAACTTCAGGAGTTAAAATCCCAGGGATAAAGGCAATACATGGGAAATAAAAACATCATACACAGAATACAGGTTAAGGATACTCAATTATAGATTTAAAAAAGACAAAAAAAGATATCACAAGAACAACACTTCATTCATTATTGCAAATCTTGATAATACTGTGTTATGATAAAATCTATTGGAACCAAGCAAGAGGTCAGAAGCCCTACATTAGTACATATGTAGATCCTGGAAATATATAAACAATATATCATAGTCATGGTTGTTAAGACAATTTCCTAAGAATTTCTATCAAATCCATGGAGGGTGCTATCTGAACAGTCAATAGTTTTATACTTTCATATATGTAACAAATATTTTAATATAGTTAGAGTTATTTTTTATTTTTAAATGTATTCACATTCAAACAGGAGCTAATTGAATCCATAGAAAATCTATATATGTTTAAATTTTAAATGTGTTCTTGTAGATTTTTCAAATTTCTTCAAAAGAAAATACACTCATGTTTGTAAAAATTGTAACACCATGAAGGAATCATGCAAATAAACTGAAACTTGCAGGAAATGAAAAGCAGGATATGACATGTAAATGATTATAATATTAACGTGATAGCACATGCATGGGCTGAGAAGTGCCCTATGAATGGTCATGTTAGCTGTATAAATAGTGGGCAGTAGCAGAAAGTTGGAAGTAGTGTATTGTTGTCTGCCAGTAATAAATGCTTCATGAGAAGTCACTATGTCTTGTCAATGACAAAGGGCTTCATATGAGCAGGTTATGGGGTTTTTGGATTGGGTGAATAATCATGGTAAAGGGGGATTTTCTTATCACAAAATTGCGGCTTGTGTGGGGCATAATACCATGACAGTGAAGGAAGTGTGGAAGCAGTGGACTGATGAGTGCAAATCTGGCAGTGGACAATGAAATGTTATGTTAGCATGGAATGACACACCTCATCCTCGTGATAATTATAGAATGTACAACTTTATCTCGACAGCACAACATTGGAGCACTGCTACAGGTGTGCCATTGCCTGCATCCACAGTTTGCCAATGTCTGCTGTGCCTTGGATTGCATGCAAGCATTCCATTGTGCAGGATTTCGCTGATGCAAAATCATCAACACCGCCACTGGCGTGCTGACTGGCAACTAATAATTTTTTCTAATGAATCCAGCTCTATTTCAACAGGACAATGCCTGTCTATATGTTGATAGAAATGTTCTAGACTTCTTCTCAGCATGACAGATACCACTTCTTCCTTGGTCTGTCCATTCACCAGACATGTTGCCTATTGAACATGTCTGGGATTTTATGGGTTGGAAACTCGCTGGTGATGCTTGTTCTGTAACCAATACAGATGAACTTTGGATTCAGATAGAAACAATCTGGAATGCCATTCCTTAGGGTAGACATTCAAAACCTGTTTGATTTGATGCCACAATGTGTAGAAGCTCTTATTGCAGCATGTGGCGGTTTCACTAAATACTGATTTTTGGGATGTAATATTGTTTGATTGCTCTGTAAATTTAACCATTTCTTTATATCACTATAGGTTACAAGTGGAATAAATTTCATTCATTTCTGATGATTCCTTCACGGTGTTGCAATTTTTACAAACATAACGTGTGTGTGTTAAAATTTTAATTAGGATTACAATTTAATTGTATAAATTATACTCTATGTTGAACCTAAGATCATCTTTCCAAAAAATTGAAAATATCAGATTACAATATCTAGAAAATAATATCATGTAATATGTTTTTAATATTTTCCCCCTAAAGAAATTTACATTTACAAAGAAACCTTTAGATTTTAAATTGTATTAAGATTCAAATTTGAAATTTGTGTAAATGAGAAAATCACTCTGTTATAAACATATATAATTAGCACATGATTATAACAATAGTAATAATTAATTTACCAATGGTGACATGTGCTTAATATGTTACAACATATACATCAAACTATACAACATATACATCATTTGCTACAATCAAGTGATCTTATTTGTTTCTTCAGCCTTGTAAAATTTATTAAATTTCAAAATAATCATTCCTAATAAAACTGATTTACAAATACCAATCTTGCTTATTGAAAAATTACTAAATCAAAATTGTTAATTAGTTTAGCAAATAATTGCTCTGTATTCCCTAAAAAGTAATTTTACAGCATTATTTTATAACATCAATAGTAGTAATAAAGTTATATTTATCTTGATTAATTTAATACATAGCAAAGTCAAATTCTTTTATTTAAAATAGTTTTAATATAATTCATTGACACAAAGTAATAAAATTTTTACTTCCTATAAATGTATTTGTTTTAATTATAAATTATCTAAAAAAACTATTTATTAATTTTAAATTAATTTAAGTGTAAATTTTATGATTTATTCAAATTTTAAGTATTCAACTTCTTTTTAATCTTTATTAAGCTTACACAGTCATTATAAGAGTGTTTGTTTGATTGTACTTAAATTAAAAAATGTAAAATGTCATTAAAATAATATACAAAATATTACTTATCATAATTTGTATCAGTACAATGACACCATGGAAAGTTACAACATGGCTGAAGCCAAGGAATCCAAATGGAATTAATGAAACTAAATTGTTGTGGAACAACATTTATACTGTCTTTGTGTTTCTTGACGGCTTTGTTGATGTGTGAAATAAGTTTTAACCACCGTGGATTTGAATTGACATCAAGTGGGTTATTTTCTGAAGGATCTTCAACTATATTATACAAAAGTGGTGGATTATGTTCATTGACAAATTTTCCAAAACAATGACATACGAAATCACATTCTGTTGTACCAGGATTCCATTTTGGAGTAAAATAATGTATTTTCCATATAGCATGTTCTATTTAAAGAAAAAAAAACTAAAATTACAAATGTGAAAATAATATGAATTACATTATTAAAATAACAATTTCTTAACCTAACCAACCAATTAATTATCACATATTGATGAAAATAACCAGGTTATGATTGGGCTAAGTATTTAGCTCAATCACAACTGAGTGATGTAATTCAAACATTTGAACTATAAATAAAAAAAAAAAAATGTTAACATTTCTTGATAGTGATTTAAATTTGTCGATTGTTAGCATTAAATTTTATACATCTGAAAAAAATATTGTTGTAATGAACTGTTACAATTTTAAAGTAAGTTAAACTTAACATATAATATCTGAAAAAATATCTCTGGAGTTTGATAGGGTAAGTAGCACATATTCATATATTATATAAAATTTACACTCAAGTTAAGCACAGAGCAGAAAATGTTCATGTCCGGAAAGCAATCAACATTTGAGAGTAATCAACCGGAAAGCAATCAACATTCCACCTACCTCTGCAATTCACTGCAGAGGTAGGTGGAAGTATGCAAATATGTTATGTTACTATCAATCATGGTTACGTGTTGCAAAATATGAAAAACAGGCAGTTGTATATAAAAAGCCAGCCTTCTGAAGTGTGAGAGGAGTTGCATGTAAGTGCCAAGAAAAAGTGTGGAGAACTGTTGTACAATTAGTGTGCATGACTGATGTCTTTTTATGGATTCCAGAAGACAAATGATAGACAGTGAGCACTGGCAGTGTGTGGGACGCCTTGAAGCAGGACATTCAATCATAGATGATGTTCTTTTCTTTGCTGTTCATCATTCCAACATTCCATGGTTATGGAAACATTTCCAAACAAGCCAAACAGTTGTCCAAAGACCTGTGGCCGGTCGCCCAAGGTTACAACCCCTGCAGAAGATCGTTACATTGCTGTTGTAGCCAAGCGGAGTCGAAGAGCAACCTCTACACATGTGACATCGATGTTTGCAGCAGCCATTGGTAAAACAATATCTGCTATTACTGTGCACCGAAGGCTACACATGAATGGACTGTATACCCAGGTACTACAAGTTTGTGTTCCACTATCCGTCCAATCTAGAGGCACACGATTAAAGTGGTGTTGGCAATATGTGAATTGGACTGTGTCTGATTGGGGCAACATTTATGTTTATGGATGAGTTGCGATTTTTCCTGGCGCCAGATGACAAATGTTTATGAGTATGGAGAGAAAAAGGCACATGCAATTGGCCCCAGAACATCATCAAGCATCACGCATTCTGAGGTGGAAGCATTACAGTGTGGGCAGGCATTTCATTGGGATATCGCACCAACCTGCACATCTATAGAGGGGGTTCTGTGACAGCTGTCCAGTATCAAGATGAAGTCCTTGAACTCATTGTGAAATTGAATGCTGCAGCAGTTGGTCCTGCTTTCGTTTTAATGGATGATAACGCATGACCCCATAGAGCTGCCCTTGTCGACGACTATCTTGAGAATGAGGGAATTGCGTGTATGGATTGGCCGGTGTACTCGCTAGACCTCAATTCCATTGAGAATCTTTGGGATGTCCTCAGCTATGCCATGTGTGCACGTTCCCCACCTCCTACCACTCTCACAGAGTTGCAAACTGCTCTACAGGAGGAATGGCACTTATTTGACTCTGGAGTAGTTGATCACCTCATGGAAAGCATGGTTACACACTGTAAACTTTGTGTAAGGATGAGGGGAGACCATTTAACCTATTAATGTCGGTTTTGTTTGTTTGTTTTGGATTTAAACATTGTTTTCTTAAAGTATAAAATGAAATCATTATTGAATTTTCTTAATGATTCCAATTTGTTTTCATCTTTCTATGTAATTCTTTGTGTTGTTTCATGCATAAACATATTTGCTACTGTCCTGCCACATTTCGTGTCAACCACAGCTGTATTTGTCGATTTTTTTGCAGTTTACCACTCCGTGCTTAACTTTTGGCAGTGAGTATATAAATTGAAATCCAATTGCTCTTTTTGTGTAAGAAAGTTTAATTAAAATATTAATCAACATTTAGTTACTATTTTATCAACAAATAGTTACATAAATATTTTGAAATGTTAGAAAAAATTTATAATCAAATAATTTTCAATCAGATTATTCTATAATTTAAATAACTTAGTTTCTTATATATTATTATGTTGTCTTCATTCTGTCCAATCACAAGGAACAAAACAATTTTTCTTTACAGATATGACCTTTTAAAACTGTTTTGTTCCTGGTAATTGGACATAATGAAAGAATGAAGACAACTTAGTTTCTTCTATATTTTTATATTGTGAAATATAATGTCAGTTAGAAAATGCATCTTATGTATAATTTCTTGTTAACCATTAACATTGTGTTATCCGCAGTTTTGGAATCTAGAGAAATCTAATTACAGATATAAATAATGATCAATTATGAACTTACGTAACATTATAAATTCAGTAAAAGATATTTACAAGAGAGAAGATTAAACTAATATATTTATCCAGACAGAATTATGCTTGGTTTTAACATTAAAATATTTTCAAATTGTATAATAATTCTTCAGTTATTTTCTTGATTCTAAAATGGATCATGAAATTATGGTATATTTCATGGAAATTTCTCAAGATCCTTGGAAACTAAATACATTGCAAAAAGTCAAAATTCTTTTTAGAAGAATAAATATTGGTCTGTTTTAACTTTATCATATATATATAAAAAAATAGCATATGATAGAAAATTTAAAAAAAGTATTGAAATAATAAAGAACAAATATCAAAATTGTATTAATAAGAATTTAAGTGTTAAAACTAATGAAAACTGGATGAAGATATTGTGACTGGCCGAATATTAAATGAATTGAATGTTAATAAAGATTAGTTAATTTAATTTGATAAACCAAAAAAATTTATTGAAAAAATTTCGGTAAGGTACTATTGATGTATACTAGGATATGTAAATTAGTTAACAGTTAGTTTATAAAATATGTACGGAAGTATAAAAGCGATTGGTGTGATTTTAGAGTAGTTTTATTTTATTTCATATTATAGAATTGTGGACGTTTATTGGTTACTTTATATGTATGCTAAATTGATGCATATCGTGATATATGCAAATTGAAAAACTGAATGATGGTGTCGGGATGATAGCCTACAAAATGTGTTAACGAATGAAAATGAATTTTTATGTAGTGGTTTACTTGGATCTATGTCACAGAATACTTAGTGTTTATTAATCACTCTGCCTGTATGTTAAAAATTGGGATTTTTGAAAACCCCGATTGTGTTATTGTAAAAAGTGTACGGGAATGGCATTTATGATAGTCATTGCATGACCTTTATGGTTGCCTACAGATACGCCATGTATCGGTTAGGTGTCTGAAATTTGGAGTGAGATATGTTTCAATAATTTTTATTGATTTTATGATCGGTTTGGTTTATGCTCAGCCATAGCTAATTAAGGTTTTTTGTGTTGTTTTATGCTTGTTTAGTTGGCTGAGGAGGGGTTAACACCCGAAACACAAATGTATAGCACGGCATACTAACTAAATAAAGATGGAAAACTTGCAGACTTGTCTGATTAAAGCAAATAAATACTAAAAATATTACAGTATATGTATTTTACAATATCAAATAATTTTTTAAATACTCAATGCACAATTATGTTTTGTGTGAAAAGTGTGTAATAAGAGCATAAATCAGAAACAACAAAAGGAATTACTATATGTTAATTATTTATCCAATAAAAATAGATTTAACATAATTTGACACTGGAAGCAATAAGTAGTGTCTTCTACTAAATTTAATAATTAGAAATGCTTAAGTAATTTGGAAAAATCTTAAAATATCTGATCTGAAGTTAAACTCTAAATCACAACTCTTGAAAGCCAGGCAATGTTACTGATTATGCTAGAAGTGGTAACTTGGACTGAAGCAAAGCCTATTTTTGCGTACTCCTGCTTCCAGAACAGTTGTCAATAGAGATTACTTCTATTTCTAGCACTCTTATGAACTACTTATAAACAACTTTGAAGTACAATAGGACCCCACCATACATGGACTTGCCACACAATTTCAGATTTACGCCGTTGGCAATCCAGGAAAAAAGGAATATACATAAAATAATTCTTAATTGTGCACTAAATCTGCACCATTTTTTAAGGTGCAGGAAGTCTTGTAGCATATTGCTTAATAATGCTCATTCTCATTCTGGAAAAGCATTACTGATACATTTCTTTGGACAAAGACCGATCCCAATGTTTAGTGCAAAAACAGAGTTCTCACTTGTAACATGTCACATCCATGTAATATCAATGTTTCTCTTTGCAAAATTATTAGTATAAATGAAACAAACATGGCTCCAAAATGCAAGGGTAGTAAAGTTGCTAGCTATGATAAGCCAAAGAAAAGCCATAAAGTGCCTATTTTAAGGGAAAAATTTAAAATTTTAATTTAGTGAGAAAGTAAAAAAAAAGGTGTGCTTGAAAGGCACACCTTTTTCTTTCAGAAAATATTTGTAAGTTGTTTTAATTATTTATAGCATGTGTCTCCGAAGAGGTGAATATATAGGAATTGATAAGGTTGATTTAAAACAGTTCATTAGAAATTATTAGTCCAATGGGTTATGTATATGTTCAAACTGCTGTAAATTTGCACACTAAGATCTTTTCTGTGTGGATGAATAAATCTGGTGAGCCAGTATTGATTAATTAATTATTATTATTAACTGTAAAAAAAAAGGTTGAGGATGTTTGGGGACCCAATTTTTATCATGGTATTTATTGTTAATTTAGTATTTATTTGCCTTATTTTAAAAAATTGTGACAACTATGTTAGTATAGGAGCCAAGGAAGATATGGCAGTGTTGCTCCATACATCAAACTTTAGTAGATTGTAAGAATACTACTTGAAATGGAACTGTGAAAACATCATTTGATAAGTTTAGGAACAATGACACTGAATAAGTGTAGCATATTAAAAATATTTGTGAAAAACATACTAATATAATCCATTATACTATCCACTAATAGATTTCAAAGAATGGGAAGGATATATTTTTTGTCTTTTGTTTGCAGAAGGCAATGTTCACTTAACTGCAATAAAAATATATCAATAATCCTATTTCTATGCCAGAACCAGACACTTGTCTGCTTGGTATAGGTACCCTCCAAACCAAAGTTTCACTGTACAGTAGTCCTGTACAACGTGCAAATAAAACAAGCAACACCCTTGAATTATGTCAATCAGAGGTATATGTTTTTTTTTCAACTTATAGGCCAAGGTTTAAACTTTCATAAATTGTGTGATAATGCAGGTTTCAATAACGTGATTTCCTATAATGAGTAACAAATCCCCCACATTGTACGGGACTCTACTGTAATATTTTTAATTATCTACTATTGTAATAATTTATCACCAAATTGATATGCATCTATGTTAAGATATACCAAATGAGCTCTCATGTTTATACATATTACCTGTGTTGTATATACATATCGATTTAGATTTATAGGTTATATGACATTAAACAATACATTACCATTTTCAGGAATATATCTGGCTGCATGAATTTCATGTCCACAATAATGAAATAAATACTGATGAGGACTTTTCTTCTCTTTACCTTGAAGTAAAGGTAAAATATTTTTACCATCTATAAACCTGTCAGTTGGTAATGGAACACCTATAATATTAAGTATTGTTGAAAAAAGATCCATTTGTGAAGTTGGTGCTGAAATTACAGATTTAGCAGGAATTTTGTTTGGCCACATTACAACAGTTGGCACACGAATTCCACCTTCCATTCCACCCATCATTTTGCCACCTATTTTAGATAATAAAAAATAAAGTATAAATCTGAAATATACAATAAATTTTATCATGTAAAAATTATACATAATAGTAAGATAGTAGGAAAATGTTAGTTCATTGTAATTTACTACTGGAATAAAGGTTTCTATCTCCAATTTCTACATAAAATTATCTAAAAAGTTTCTTGAAATTCTAGAATAAAGCTGAAATTAATTAAACCAAAATAAATAAATAATTTTCTATAGAAAATAATAACATAACAACTGTGTGTCATGTTTCTGATGATTATTTTATGACTATTTTATTGAAATAATAATTTGATACAATTAAATGATTCATATTTTGGTTTGTTATTAACATACTAGTTCTGAATTTATGATCAATAGAACCAGCAAAGCATCAGTTTCATTTAAAAATGTTCTGCAATCACTTTTCTTTAGCAACTTTCAATCTCTAACTGATGATAATCTATTGCTTACTTGTATGGTGTACTGCCACTCTGTCACAATTAAACAACATCATTGCTGAACTGCATAAAGTATTTCAATAAGCTAGCTAATTTGCTATACACAGATTCTGCTGGTCTCTTTGAATGAATAAAGTATTTTGATAGCATTCTCTTTTAATATTTTGACCATTTTAGTCACCAGATATAGTGATTCTTCATGTTTTTTTCCTCTTAATACACACAACACTTTGTAGTATGTATGTGTGTGTATATATATATATATATATATATATATATATATATATACATACATACTGTGTTCACTTAATGAGGATGCATTCCACTTAAACTGTACATTGTTTAAAGATAGTGAAAAGTTGCAAAATCTCTTTTTGTATTTGCAAAATAAAATGTCTTTATAAATCATTCAAATATTTTCAATTTTTCAGTTAGCTATCCCTTAGAGTTTACCTTGATCTGCCACCGATATCAATTTATCATAATGGAGTCTATGAACATCTCATTGGTGGCAATTTAGTTGCTATTATGTCACTCCACTAGTTTCCAAGGAGATTTAGTGTTAATTGCTTTTTCAGTCACATGAGCATAGTGTACTGTAGTTTCAGAAACATGTTTATGCACGTGGCTATCTACACAGCTATCTACGTATGCAACAAATCTGGGCATCACACCTATCTTTGATGAAGCGCATGTTATCCACACAACCCAACATCAGGGACAACTAAGAACTTTGGAAGCAATGGAAATCTTTAAAGCCGATCGCAAATCCACATGCATTAATTTCAAAGAATAAATAAATCTCTCTACAGCATGGCAATTTTTACTTGATGATAAATCATAATATATTTTATAAGTTAAATTTATATGAGGTTATTGCACATAACAAATCCCCATTGGTGGAAAATTATATTTGAAATAGCATGCGCATTCCTTCCACTTTTGAAAATTTTTTTGGAAAAGGTCACGTTTCAAATTTTTTAAAAACATTCGAATTAAAGAATCCAGTTATAACGGAAGATATAAAATACGCCTGAAGAAGATCCTAGGAGGGGAATTGAAAACGTTTGCTAATTTTTTTGAAGAATTTCACGCCAGTTATTGGTTAATTATAGATCGTTGTATATTTGAAACTACTACATTTAGAAAGGTCTGTTCCCAGTTATACTATATGCCACGAAACTAATTGTATTTGGTCCTTTCCTTTTTTCTTAAAACAAATAATTAAATTCTACTACCGATTGAAATTTTAAAGTAACAACAACATAACTTTTTTACATCAAGAAATAATTAAACAAAGCAAAAATTTAAAAACCAAGCAGTTTTGGCAAAACAAGTTCTGCAGAATCTTGAATGCATTTGGAGTATTTGGAGTTGTTATTTAAAGATAATCTTCAAGATTGGAAGTATGGTTATACACTATTATTAGAATCCTCTATTTCTCAATCTATAAATAAAGACCAAACTAACTTAAGTCAAAGCAATTATCACCCTTGGTATATAAATTTATTACAAATACCACCTTCTCAACCACAAATATCTAAATCAATAAACATCAACCTGAAAAGATTAATAGCCCAATTACATCTCAACAAATATTCACTTTTTATTAATAATACTTGTATTAACTTTCCAAACACTCAATATTTTTGGTATAAATATGAAGCTTTCTCAATGTACCATTTACTTCAAAACTGTCAAGGCCTTGCAAGTATGCACAATTCACATGACATTAATTAAATGGATACTCAACTGCAGTTTACCTCTCAAATTCAGAAAGAATTTCAACAATCTCAATAAAAAAGATCTTTACAAACTATATAACTACTTCATCAAGATTGTAGAAACATTAAAGAACTAAAGTAAACTCAATGTATACTAATACTCTACGAAAGTTAACTGTTTCTGCATTGTCACTTTTGTTAAAACCATTCTCTTTGCTTTTGTTTATAATGGGTTTTTATGGAATCTATTGTAAAATAATTGTATGGGTTTGATAGCTTGAAAGCAGTTTATAAATAGTAATTTACAAAAAATATTGAATCATTATCTAACATATGTACTACCCCCTGCAACAGGGAAACTCTTCTCTTCTGTTAATAAAGTTTGATTGATTGATTATTGTACATTTTATTTTGATTCTCAAAGGATAGGGTCATAGTTTTGCTTTTACCTTTGATTAATAACTTAACTGTAAGAAGTTATTTGAATTCTTTGAGATATATTTATGTATGAAACATATCATAATTAAATGAAAAAATTAAATAGATTAAAATCAATTATTTAATAATAAAAAATACCTTTCAATATTCCATTATGACCACCTTCACGTTCACCATCGTCACTTCTCTCTTCAAGATGGCCTCCATTATCAGATGTAAAATAAACAAAAGTATTGTTTTTTTCTTTTATATTTTCAACTGTTTCTAGTATTTGTCCTACAGCCCAATCCAATTCTTCTATGTTATCACCATATCTTCCATGTTTACTTATACCAGAAAATTCTGGAGCACAGAAAAGTGCAGTATGAACATGAACAAATGACATAACTAATAGGAATGGGTGTTTAGCATTATTTGTTATAAATTTATTTGCTTCTTGAACAAATCTTTGAGTAAGACCATTCAGTCTCACAGGCTGTTCTACAACGTCCTGATTTCTCATAACAACACCATTTAAAACATTAATATTTTGTATGAAGAAATATACTAAAAATGTTCCACATAAAAATGTTAATGACAGAATCCAAAATGATTTTTTATAGCCATATGATAGAAGAGAAAATGATAATGATAAACCTACTACTAAAATTGTAATTAAACAAGTGTAAAAATGGGGAACATATTTAACAACTATACTTGTTTCATTTTCACCAAAATCTTTTAAATTTGTTAAGGGAAGTCCATAATAATAATCAAAGCCATGATTCAAGGGATGATGGCACATATCATCCTTTTCATAACAGCTGAGTCCTAAATGCCATTTACCTGAAAGAAAAATACATTTATAGATTAATAAAAAAATAATATTTTAATTTTTCTAACAATGAGAGTTATAAATTTAAATTATAATGCATAAAGCCAATATTTCATTTAAAACTGTAATTTATTAATTAAATAGTTATCTTTAAAAATTTGGATAAGATCTTCAATAATGAAATATATATAAGTATATATTGCTATTTATATATTACAGAATTTTATTATATAGATCATATGATAGATAAATTAAATATATTTGTAGATAAATTGGCTTTAGAAAGAACATTATTTTTATGCATTTTAAACATTATTGGTAAACTGTGGATTATGAACTACTTTTAAATAAAATTTATCGATGAGCTATCTGAATCAAAATTCCTTTAGATAGCAAAACGTTTTTTTTTATTAATATATAAAAAATTTACACTAAGCCAGGGATTTCCCAAGTGTACGCCATGGTGCCCAGGGCACTGTAAAGAGTAAAACAGGGTGCCACGAGAGCTTTGAAGCTAATGGAACTTTGGGTTCTTGATCAAATAAATGCAGATCTTAAAAGATAAAATAAATTTATTTTGAGCTCAAGTACAAAGACTGTCATCAGCACCAAACATATGATCAGAATGACTCTAGAGGGAGACAAAAGACTAAATCTAGGGGCATGGTAAGATATTGTCAGATTAGCCACATACTCCCTTCCCAGTGGCAACACTCAGGAACTTAGAAGGAAAATGTACAGTTTGTCCAGAACGAGTTGTCAGTGGGCAAAGTGCCTGGTTTTGTGTGGTCTCATCTGGTGGGTAGTCATTTCTGTCCACAGGTCCATTATCATTGTTGGGGAATGGCGGAGAGGTGGTCATATCTTTAAAAAAAAAAAAAACGGGTTTGAGGTGGTCAATTGAAACAGTTTGCTTCCCTCGAGGTGTATCTAAATTGAAGTGTTTGTTTGAGTATCATAGGACACGGAAGGGGCCATCATAGATTGGTTGTAATAGTTTGCGTGAGGCATCATGGTGCAAAAAAATGTGTGAGGCAGTCATCAAGTCAGGGTCTAAAAAAATATTTTTTGATGAGTGATGGACCTCTCCGACCTCATACGATCCTTTAACCTGCAGATCAAGGTAGGTAAGTCACTGGCAGGAATAGTCTCATGGTCAGTGAGGAGATCAGAAGGCAGTGAGATGGGTTTGCTGTATGTGATCTCTGCTGCTGTAGTGTTGTAGTTAGGGATGACAGGATCTTAGCCCCAAGAGGATGGTTGGGAGTTTAGCAACCCAATTATCAGTCAGCTGAGCTCTTAGCAAGGACTTAAGCTGATGATGTCACATTCAATCTTTCTGTTTGCAGCTGGGTAGTATGACATTGTCTTAATGTGGTTAATTCATGTTTCACAGAACACCTCTCAAAGCTCAGTAATTGTCTTCCTCAAAGTATTCTGCAAACCAATGTCGAGAAAAACCAAGATCCTTTCCATGCTCAAGCTCCACCAGAATTCACTTTGCAGGAAGAAGAGAGTCTAATTGAACTCTCTTGCAACAATAGCCTGAAAACAAAATTTGCTTCTTCCAATTTAGTGGAGTTTTATATATCAATCAAAAATGAATATCCAACTCTGAGTTCAAAAGCTGTAAGGATCCTCATTCCTTTTGTGACAATGTATTCATGCAAAGCTGGATTTTTAGCTCTAGCTGTAATAAAAAGCAAATATCACTCAAAAATCAATGTGGAGCGAGAAATGAGAGTGGCAGTGTCAAGCCTTATTCCACATTTTGAAAAAATGTGTAAAGATCAGCAAGCTCACTCATCACATTAACTTAGTTGTTGTTGAAGATTTTCACCATTTATTTTTCACATTTTTTGTATTTTCATATTTTAGTTTGATGGTTCTTGTGATTCAATTTTAATAAATGTGAGCTTTGCATTGTGAGATTTATCTTAAGAGTTGTTTTCATTTTTGTGCCTGATTAATGTCAATGTACACATATTTTGACAAGGGTGCCAGGACAAAATACTATCAGTCCATGGCACACTTACAAGTTTAAAGTTTGGGAACCACTGCACTAAGCAAATTGTAATGCATATGAAAATTATTATACTTCATTTCAACACAGATTATCTTGTCAACAGTAAAATAGATTTAATAACAGTAAACTTTTGCAGTCCTTGAATCATGCATTCATTGAATTCCTATAAAAGAATAAATGGAACAAGCAAATATTTATTGTGACATCGTTACAATGCCAAGTTGAAATTTTTAATCATATTTTTAATTTATTTCATTTATTTAAAATATATGCTCTCCACCTCAAATTAGTACTATAGTTTCTTTCTACTGTACAGTACATCATACTTTTCAGTTAATAGATGACTAGCATGATACCATTACTAACTGCTTTCAGGGAAAAAGTTTTGAATTGAAATAACTGAACTTCCAATGCAAACCAGAAGTCATTTTATAGTTAGTCAGGGCCTCCTATCCCTAAGATTTCTATATCTGGTCTCAGATTTCATCTAACTCCATTTTGAGATTAAGGAAAGACAGACCTATGAATTCCCTCTGTCATCAGTCTACAATTTTTTCAAATTGCAGCCAAAAAATAAAAACAACAGAAAAAAATATATATGTATATACAGTATATTCATTAAAAAGTAGAGATTATTTTAACAAAAAATTATTTTGGCTTTCTTTAAATACAATCAATAAAATAGAATACAAATTAAATAAATGAACAACATTAACATTTCAGAACAAGCTTTAGAAAGGACTAGTAAAGAATGCCCAGCCAAGAACTCAGAGAGAAAGTTGAGTTATCCTTGTTATAGGGTAGCATATGTTTCCCACAGGATGACAGAGTAACTATGAAAAATTTGGTGCAAATCCGTCAAAAGATTTGGTAATTTGTGGAAAATGAAATCAGGGAAAGGAGTGAAGATCAAGGTTTTCAAGCAGCATATATTTTTTGGGAGTATTGTAGAGAGTAACTATATAAAATTTGTCTAGATCACTCAAAAAGTTTGGGGGTAAGGGATAAAATCAGAGAGGAAGAGTGAGGGGGTGTCAGAGTTTTATGGTAGTCCACATTTCCATATAGGGTACCAGAGAAGTCATGTGCAGGATTTGGGAGTTTGTAGGAGGAGATGAAATCAGCAATAAGGGGTCTGAGTTTTAAGGTAGCTTACATACTGTACATCGAAAAGTAATAAGCTTTCCAATGTTACCTTGACGCAGATGTATGTTTCGTGACAACTGCGACTTTCTTTTTGTCATTTTATTGTTGATAAGACTCGCTTGCACATGTGTACACCTGAAAAGTAACCTAAAGAACTCAATTTATATAGGAAGATATCTGATAACATAAGACTAATTCTTATTTTTAAATAATGGTATGGTAGATTAATACTAAAACAATGAATAAAAAAAATACTATATACCTACTTACAAAAGTTTCATTAAATTCACTCCTTATAGTTATAAGTACCTGATAACATGAATATTATTATAAGAAATAAGATAGTAGATGGATTATGTCTCATAGCCATCCAGTGCACACTGTACAACAACTGATTGCACAAGTTGTGCAGGCATGGAGAGATATACCCCAACAAGACATTTAAGCACTTATTGTTTCAATGCCTGCAAGGATCCAAGAGTGTATCCATGCTCAAGGTGGCCATACCTCTTACAGAAATATGTACCAAACAGCAATAAAATTTTGCATAATTCATTTCGTGTTCATTTATTCTGGGTATGCCCCTGTACATGTTTACTAAGTTTTGTGAATTTCTATCAATTCCATCTGGGTGTAACACTTTCAATTTCCACCAGTGTATATACATAATGAATATTTTAAATTAAAAGATTACCAAATTTTAATTGCTATTATGTAAATAATTCATTCTGATACATATTAATTAAATAATATTATAAATTCATATTAAATTTCACATTTTATATGAAATAAAAAAGAAAGAACTGCAATAAATTTCTCAATACCTATTAAAGCAGTAACATATCCTTCTTTTTGCAAAACTTTAGCAAATGTTGTTTCGTTCATTGGAAGACCACCTTTTGATGCCAAAAATATAAAAACCTTATTCCTATTAAATGACTCCATACCTTAAATTGAAAAAATTATAACAATTTATTTCAAAAATATTTTTATATATGATATATGATAATTGATATTTTATAATTAATATAGGATAATCTGTAAACTAAATGTAATAGAATCAACTTATTGTAATCAGTGATTTGGTTAGAGTTATCATTAACTTCAAGTAAACAAACATTTTTATTTTTTGCACTAGCAACCTCAACAAGAATGCATCAATTACTATCAGCTATCATTATCAGTCTTAACCATTATTTTAAACATTATACATTTATTATTTTGATTATTATTATTCATAACACAGTAGTTTAAATTTCTGGTATTTCTTACAATTATAGATTAGCTATTAAAGACAAAAGACAAATACCCAAAATACACACATCAAAATGAGTGGAGAAAATTCTTCATTACTTAAATACATACATTTTATCTAAACAAATTCAAACATTCAAACAGAATTAATACTTTAAGACAGACATATATTAGTCTATTCTGGTGCAATCATTGCAGCTATATACCATGGTCTTAAACTACAGATAAGCCTGCTTGGCAAAGAAGACTAGAAACACAAATTCATAACATTTGACAATAATTATGTAGGCTGACACAAATAACATAACACTAAACTTAATGGTTAAGAAAATATTCAGGAAAATTAACACACACACACAGTATAAACAATACAATATGCACATCAGGATATCCCTCATTTTGACAAAACATAATCTTTGTCAAAATGTTTGTGCCCATCTCCTAAATTTTTTTGCATTTGATCAGAATTACTCAAATATGAAGTTTCATCTCGACAGGATGACATTAACCCGTGTTGACTTGAGTGTGAAACTTGAATACGAGAAATGATTGACTTGAGGGATATTAAACAACAGCAAAAATCAATAACTAAGAAATATAACGTTATTAATTTTTTGATATAGTAGTTGTCTGTAATATTCATTACAAGATTAAAAATTGCTGTGCATACTTTCTCTTCAATGCTTCTTTTTTGCAATCTGGATATAGTCTTTGATGGCCTTGCACACAATGCAATGCAAACTCCTTTTGTTTTTCATCTACAATCAATAATCCATGAAAATTTCACAATAATTTAACAGCTCTTTCAGTGGATGCATTTACAACTCTTAACATGTTTACTGTCTTTTGGGTTGCTAAATACGAAATGATGTTTTTCCACATTGAAGAACATTCCTGGAGAAAATTTTATTTATTCACAGCCAAGAAAAGAATCCTCCTCTTTTAACTGATACAAAGTCATAAATTGTTTTTTCTAACATGAGAAACAAATCAATGAGAGAATGTTAATAAAAGTATGCTACTACAGTAAACAGAAATTAAACTTAGCAAATTATTTGGTATCCATTTATTCATGCAAATGAATAAATTTCCTTCCCATACATCAATGTTCTCTGCCCAAATTGACCAACATTTTACTTTTGGTTTGAAAGTCAACAGCACCATCAAAGAGAGATAGAACTGGCAGTTCTTCAGATAAATACCACAAGTGTTATTTATGCTTCTTTAAAGTTGTTGTGGAAATGGTTGGATATATATAACTTCATAAAAGCCCATAATCAAGAAGCAGGGGTTTTGATTAAGTGCTTTTATTACTACATTACACTTAAGCCATGGTTTAACATAAACTGTTACAACAAACAGAAATATCACATAAACTATCCATCAGAGAAGAGGAAGCTTTAAGTTCTGACCTTAGGAGAAACATTTTTATGGAATAAATTGCTCTTGGCATCCATCAAGCTTAATAAAAGGACTTCTTACTTTTCCTCAAAAGATCATACACTCACAAACTACAAGATTTGCACTCTCACTTATCAATATATTTTGCACTAACTAGAGAGATAGATCATAAAAAAAATCACAATATCCAGCAATGAATTTAATAAATACGAACATTTACGACCAGTTTCACTGAATTTTTTTTGTACTCTAATACTCATTGTTAGCTTAACCTCTCATATGTTGTAAAATAAAACAGGCAGTACTTGTCTATTTGATGGTAATTTGCCTCCAATTATTTGGTGTTTCATGTTCCCGATCAAAAACACACTATCCTTGAGACTGCATAATTTGTACAACATAATATCAGCGTAAAGGTGCACAAATACATCTAACACAAGCTGACAGTGCCCATGCATAATGACCAATCTAGACCTGAGTGAAGCCCAACATGTCCAGATGTGTTTTTGACACATTGATGCTCAAGTCAGCACTGGTTAGTAATCATTGATCACCAAGAAATTAAATATGAACATGTTTTCGAGTGAAAGGAAAAAATGGGCTGGTGGGTGTTCAAAAATTTTGAAGTCAGAAAATAAGGGACACTAATGCATATACAAAAATATGTTGATTAAACTAGCAGCCAATGCATAAACAAACACAACATGGCTTTACTAGCATCCAACTTACAAACACTGTAATAATACAAACCTGTATGCTACAAAAACAATAAAATACATTACTGTATTCACAAACAATGAGGCACTGTTCTAAAGACAATTACAAATCAAACCCACCTTAGGACAATGGCATGGAACAGAAAAACAATTCACAGACTATTGGTTTGCTCTTTGGTGTAATTCACTCACACACAAAACTGAAAGAAGATGAATCAAAGGAAGAAGAAAACAAGCATGGACCCCAACATGCAGTATAAAGTTGGAAAACATCTGGTGCAGACAACATTACAATTTCTGATACAAAAAATTTATGTCACTGCACCAAGAACTATCCAAATCTATGCAAAACTAAATACCCAAAAACCAATAAAGGGAATAAGAGTATTTATTTACAAATGTTTCATCCATTTGTAATGATCATCGTCAGGTACTCCATAAGGAAAACAGAACCAGTACATTTGGAACTACTCTGAAACTTTGTATTTAATCATTTTACTCATTTTTTGGGTATTTGGTGTTTGTAGTTTTTACTCCAGACAACCAGTTTTTGCTGTGATGAATGAATCAACTGTGACAATCATCTGCCATGTATTATATGTAAATATATTTAGTTCTAGAAATATCTACAACTTTCTCTGTCTTTCTCTTTTGCTCACTAGTTTATTGCTTATAAGTCAATAAACCCAACAGGAGTGGAGGGGAAAAGTATAGGAATGGATGGAACTGGTGGATGAAAGAAAACACATTTTTTTGTATATATAGAGGGGCAATCAAGGAAGTTACTTTCAACAAGCAAAAGGGACAGGAAGATAAAAAGATCACCTGAGATCATAGTGCTGATGAAAAGAAGGATCACTCAAGATCATACTATACTTGTTTTGCAATACCCAAAAACACACCCCCACAATCCAACACTTTTAGCTTTGAGGTACCTTTTTCACATAATGTTTGTCACTTCTCCCCATCTCTTATTCCAGTCTTCTGTAGTTTTAATATAGGATAACACCTTCAAATGTTCTCAAATTTCCTTAATGGTTCTCTCTGTCCCATTAGTTATTCTGTTTCACACTTGAGGAAGAACTCACAGCAGTTCAAAAATGTTTGTGGTGATCTTTTTATCTTTTGTTTTTTTTTATATCACACTGGTTATAGGTTCTAAGAGTGCAGTATTTAACATAATTATATTACATCATCAAACAATAGTAAAAATAGAAGAAATAGTTTAATTTGCTATTGTTTTCATTTTCTATTTTAAATTTTACTTCATTATTTAGTTTATTTATTTTATCTTCTATCTTGATATAGTAATAAAAAGAAGAAAAGAGAAGTTGGAATTTACACGTATATAATTGTTAACCTCCATGTTAATAATTGTTTTTGGTGTACAGTACATAATGAAAACAGACATTTATTTTCAAAACCTGAAGATTCTAAGTAACTTTCAACTTTATCCAAAATTTCAATTTATGAAACATTTAATTCAGCTGGCTTTCTAAAATAGGATAAACTTTCATTACAAGTTTTAAGTTATTAGCAAATCTTTTAAGTAAGTTTTTAATTACATGTCAGTATTGAATCTAGTGTTCCAATATTGAGACCATAGTCTGCTTTTTCTAGCAGTACTTCATTTACTTTGGTTTTTGTTTTTTTCAAGTTTATTATTTAAGCCCGTTTTACTCTATTTTTTCTTGCAAGAATTCTACTATCTTGTTTGAACTTTCTCATTTATCAATAGCAAGTGTTGAATATTCTAAACTGACTAATGGTGCTCCCTATTCTTTAATGCAGATTAATAAAAGCAAAAACAAAGCACACTTTAATGACAGATTAAAAATGCATTGCTTTAAAATTCTTGAGTACATAGCTCTACAACTTTTTATTGTAATATAAATTTATTAAAACTATTTTCAATCTGACCATTAAGTATATAGATAGATAAACTTAAATTTTTTAAGGAAACTTAAGGCTACTTAACAACAAAGGAAATCTAATAACACAAATGACTAAACCGATTAGGTTATCGATCTACCAACTTTTGCAGACCCTGAATCTAATCCAAGTGAATAACCCCATAAGTTTTACATGGATGGTTTGTCTTGGATTTTTTTCTTGGACTCTTTATACCCTGCAAAGAGTCCATGAAGGACTAAGAGGGCTCTTTTTGAAAAAGAACCCTCTAAGTCCTCATCCATTGTGGGTTCAGTCAGACCCACAATGAGATAGCAAAGTAGAAAGAGATAGGGCATAATATATCAAAGATAAACATCTCCCAAAAATTTCTGGAGTTTTTTGACATATTTGGATTTGTTTCCGCACCATCCAGCCTGCCTGGTCTGTCTCAGATATGTCAGATATTCATCATGGGTTCACCAGTGCCACAATGATGAATATAAAAAAAGTCCCTCTTGATGCCAGTGGTAGATTGGCTCACTGGGCAATCAGAAATTTTCCAGTGGGCCATTTGCTTGGTGATTGTTCCTTATTTTAATATTTGTCATACTTCACCTAAAAAATAAATTAATACAAAAATGCAAGCATGTCTATCTGTCCATTGTATTAAATTTAAAACAATGTTGTATTCTAATTGAGGCCCCAGGTTGCTATGTCCACAATAAACTGCACAAGTCCACATAAACTGGCAGTTGGCACTCTGCAGCTTCTATTTTGAAAATAACAAATCACATAATGAGCCAAAGGCTGCCATGACAAAGTCCTTATTACCAGTGATAAAAAGAAATAATTAAAAGTAGTTTAAATTATTAAACAGATTATTCCTTAGTTAATACACATTATATATTAAAATAAAAAAAAAACTGATTGTATTTTGTTTTAATTTTAAAATAATGTTAAAACATATCATATTATTTAGGAAAGAATTACTTTTAATTATTCTTCAGAATAAAATTTAAACATTATTTTATAATTTATGTTTAAATTTTATTCTGAAGAATAATTAAAAGTAATTCTTTCCTAAATAATATGATATGTTTTAACATTATTTTAAAATTAAAACAAAATACAATCAGTTTTTTTTTTATTTTAATATATAATGTGTATTAACTAAGGAATAATCTGTTTAATAATTTAAACTACTTTTAATTATTTCTTTTTATCACTGGTAATAAGGACTTTGTCATGGCAGCCTTTGGCTCATTATGTGATTTGTTATTTTCAAAATAGAAGCTGCAGAGTGCCAACTGCCAGTTTATGTGGACTTGTGCAGTTTATTGTGGACATAGCAACCTGGGGCCTCAATTAGAATACAACATTGTTTTAAATTTAATACAATGGACAGATAGACATGCTTGCATTTTTGTATTAATTTATTTTTTAGGTGAAGTATGACAAATATTAAAATAAGGAACAATCACCAAGCAAATGGCCCACTGGAAAATTTCTGATTGCCCAGTGAGCCAATCTACCACTGGCATCAAGAGGGACTTTTTTTATATTCATCATTGTGGCACTGGTGAACCCATGATGAATATCTGACATATCTGAGACAGACCAGGCAGGCTGGATGGTGCGGAAACAAATCCAAATGTGTCAAAAAACTCCAGAAATTTTTGGGAGATGTTTATCTTGGATATATTATGCCCTATCTCTTTCTACTTTGCTATCTCATTGTGGGTCTGACTGAACCCACAATGGATGAGGACTTAGAGGGTTCTTTTTCAAAAAGAGCCCTCTTAGTCCTTCATGGACTCTTTGCAGGGTATAAAGAGTCCAAGAAAAAAATCCAAGACAAACCATCCATGTAAAACTTATGGGGTTATTCACTTGGATTAGATTCAGGGTCTGCAAAAGTTGGTAGATCGATAACCTAATCGGTTTAGTCATTTGTGTTATTAGATTTCCTTTGTTGTTAAGTAGCCTTAAGTTTCCTTAAAAAATTTAAGTTTATCTATCTATATACTTAATGGTCAGATTGAAAATAGTTTTAATAAATTTATATTACAATAAAAAGTTGTAGAGCTATGTACTCAAGAATTTTAAAGCAATGCATTTTTAATCTGTCATTAAAGTGTGCTTTGTTTTTGCTTTTATTAATCTGCATTAAAGAATAGGGAGCACCATTAGTCAGTTTAGAATATTCAACACTTGCTATTGATAAATGAGAAAGTTCAAACAAGATANGTTTACTGTCATCAGCTAGTTATTCTTTTGACAATTACATTACTAAGTAAAAGCATCAGTTATATTTTGATTGATATGAATAATAATCATCTTACATATTAATTATGGTTTATTTGATTCATAAGTAAATAAACTTACCAGATCTAACAGGATATCTTCCTGTTAGAAGAGCAGCTCTACTAGGAGTACATACAGCAGCTGCAGCCAAATGATGGGTTAATTTAGCTCCTTGATTTGCAATGCTGTCTATGTTTGGAGTTTGAATAGTATCATTTCCAAAACATCCTAAATCTCCATATCCCAAATCATCAGCAATAAATATTAAGAAATTTGGTTTCCTTACTGATTGTGTATTGAAAATGTTTAAAATTGACAGAAAAATTAATAATTCAATCAGAATAAAATTAAAGGTTGGCATAATGAATGCAGCTTAAAGATCCTTTTATTAATTTTATCTAGAAAAAAAAAAGTTTATCATAAGAGCCTGGTAAAAAAAAAATGAAATGAATATATATATATAGTAATACCCCGACTTACGCAAACCCGGAGTTATACAATTTTCAAATCTCGTCGATTCATCTTTTGTTTGAGCTCCACGCAACTCTTGATCACTCACTCCCCCCCCCACACTATTGTTCAGCTTACATGTTCAGATGTGTCGCGCGGAATCGACACATAACTATGATTTATTTTTGTGTTTGTTATATCTATGGAGACTTGAGAGACTATGTGGTGATTTCTTGTAACCGTGAACGAATCAAAAGACGAGATAAGATTAACGAGAACATTTATTAGCTTACATACATCCACAATTTTACATTTTTTACACAAATTTTATACAAATTGCGAAATTATACCTCAATTTTACACAAATTGCACAAATTTTACTCCAACTTACGCGGTTATCGCTCAGTCCCACCTATCATGTAAATTCGGGGTATTACTGTATACAGTATATGTGGATATATAAAATTTTATATAGATGCATAATTATATAAATATAATTTAAACCANATTATGTAAATAATTCATTCTGATACATATTAATTAAATAATATTATAAATTCATATTAAATTTCACATTTTATATGAAATAAAAAAGAAAGAACTGCAATAAATTTCTCAATACCTATTAAAGCAGTAACATATCCTTCTTTTTGCAAAACTTTAGCAAATGTTGTTTCGTTCATTGGAAGACCACCTTTTGATGCCAAAAATATAAAAACCTTATTCCTATTAAATGACTCCATACCTTAAATTGAAAAAATTATAACAATTTATTTCAAAAATATTTTTATATATGATATATGATAATTGATATTTTATAATTAATATAGGATAATCTGTAAACTAAATGTAATAGAATCAACTTATTGTAATCAGTGATTTGGTTAGAGTTATCATTAACTTCAAGTAAACAAACATTTTTATTTTTTGCACTAGCAACCTCAACAAGAATGCATCAATTACTATCAGCTATCATTATCAGTCTTAACCATTATTTTAAACATTATACATTTATTATTTTGATTATTATTATTCATAACACAGTAGTTTAAATTTCTGGTATTTCTTACAATTATAGATTAGCTATTAAAGACAAAAGACAAATACCCAAAATACACACATCAAAATGAGTGGAGAAAATTCTTCATTACTTAAATACATACATTTTATCTAAACAAATTCAAACATTCAAACAGAATTAATACTTTAAGACAGACATATATTAGTCTATTCTGGTGCAATCATTGCAGCTATATACCATGGTCTTAAACTACAGATAAGCCTGCTTGGCAAAGAAGACTAGAAACACAAATTCATAACATTTGACAATAATTATGTAGGCTGACACAAATAACATAACACTAAACTTAATGGTTAAGAAAATATTCAGGAAAATTAACACACACACACAGTATAAACAATACAATATGCACATCAGGGTATCCCTCATTTTGACAAAACATAATCTTTGTCAAAATGTTTGTGCCCATCTCCTAAATTTTTTTGCATTTGATCAGAATTACTCAAATATGAAGTTTCATCTCGACAGGATGACATTAACCCGTGTTGACTTGAGTGTGAAACTTGAATACGAGAAATGATTGACTTGAGGGATATTAAACAACAGCAAAAATCAATAACTAAGAAATATAACGTTATTAATTTTTTGATATAGTAGTTGTCTGTAATATTCATTACAAGATTAAAAATTGCTGTGCATACTTTCTCTTCAATGCTTCTTTTTTGCAATCTGGATATAGTCTTTGATGGCCTTGCACACAATGCAATGCAAACTCCTTTTGTTTTTCATCTACAATCAATAATCCATGAAAATTTCACAATAATTTAACAGCTCTTTCAGTGGATGCATTTACAACTCTTAACATGTTTACTGTCTTTTGGGTTGCTAAATACGAAATGATGTTTTTCCACATTGAAGAACATTCCTGGAGAAAATTTTATTTATTCACAGCCAAGAAAAGAATCCTCCTCTTTTAACTGATACAAAGTCATAAATTGTTTTTTCTAACATGAGAAACAAATCAATGAGAGAATGTTAATAAAAGTATGCTACTACAGTAAACAGAAATTAAACTTAGCAAATTATTTGGTATCCATTTCTTCATGCAAATGAATAAATTTCCTTCCCATACATCAATGTTCTCTGCCCAAATTGACCAACATTTTACTTTTGGTTTGAAGGTCAACAGCACCATCAAAGAGAGAGAGAACTGGCAGTTCTTCAGATAAATACCACAAGTGTTATTTATGCTTCTTTAAAGTTGTTGTGGAAATGGTTGGATATATATAACTTCATAAAAGCCCATAATCAAGAAGCAGGGGTTTTGATTAAGTGCTTTTATTACTACATTACACTTAAGCCATGGTTTAACATAAACTGTTACAACAAACAGAAATATCACATAAACTATCCATCAGAGAAGAGGAAGCTTTAAGTTCTGACCTTAGGAGAAACATTTTTATGGAATAAATTGCTCTTGGCATCCATCAAGCTTAATAAAAGGACTTCTTACTTTTCCTCAAAAGATCATACACTCACAAACTACAAGATTTGCACTCTCACTTATCAATATATTTTGCACTAACTAGAGAGATAGATCATAAAAAAAATCACAATATCCAGCAATGAATTTAATAAATACGAACATTTACGACCAGTTTCACTGAATTTTTTTTGTACTCTAATACTCATTGTTAGCTTAACCTCTCATATGTTGTAAAATAAAACAGGCAGTACTTGTCTATTTGATGGTAATTTGCCTCCAATTATTTGGTGTTTCATGTTCCCGATCAAAAACACACTATCCTTGAGACTGCATAATTTGTACAACATAATATCAGCGTAAAGGTGCACAAATACATCTAACACAAGCTGACAGTGCCCATGCATAATGACCAATCTAGACCTGAGTGAAGCCCAACATGTCCAGATGTGTTTTTGACACATTGATGCTCAAGTCAGCACTGGTTAGTAATCATTGATCACCAAGAAATTAAATATGGACATGTTTTCGAGTGAAAGGAAAAAATGGGCTGGTGGGTGTTCAAAAATTTTGAAGTCAGAAAATAAGGGACACTCTAATGCATATACAAAAATATGTTGATTAAACTAGCAGCCAATGCATAAACAAACACAACATGGCTTTACTAGCATCCAACTTACAAACACTGTAATAATACAAACCTGTATGCTACAAAAACAATAAAATACATTACTGTATTCACAAACAATGAGGCACTGTTCTAAAGACAATTACAAATCAAACCCACCTTAGGACAATGGCATGGAACAGAAAAACAATTCACAGACTATTGGTTTGCTCTTTGGTGTAATTCACTCACACACAAAACTGAAAGAAGATGAATCAAAGGAAGAAGAAAACAAGCATGGACCCCAACATGCAGTATAAAGTTGGAAAACATCTGGTGCAGACAACATTACAATTTCTGATACAAAAAATTTATGTCACTGCACCAAGAACTATCCAAATCTATGCAAAACTAAATACCCAAAAACCAATAAAGGGAATAAGAGTATTTATTTACAAATGTTTCATCCATTTGTAATGATCATCGTCAGGTACTCCATAAGGAAAACAGAACCAGTACATTTGGAACTACTCTGAAACTTTGTATTTAATCATTTTACTCATTTTTTGGGTATTTGGTGTTTGTAGTTTTTACTCCAGACAACCAGTTTTTGCTGTGATGAATGAATCAACTGTGACAATCATCTGCCATGTATTATATGTAAATATATTTAGTTCTAGAAATATCTACAACTTTCTCTGTCTTTCTCTTTTGCTCACTAGTTTATTGCTTATAAGTCAATAAACCCAACAGGAGTGGAGGGGAAAAGTATAGGAATGGATGGAACTGGTGGATGAAAGAAAACACATTTTTTTGTATATATAGAGGGGCAATCAAGGAAGTTACTTTCAACAAGCAAAAGGGACAGGAAGATAAAAAGATCACCTGAGATCATAGTGCTGATGAAAAGAAGGATCACTCAAGATCATACTATACTTGTTTTGCAATACCCAAAAACACACCCCCACAATCCAACACTTTTAGCTTTGAGGTACCTTTTTCACATAATGTTTGTCACTTCTCCCCATCTCTTATTCCAGTCTTCTGTAGTTTTAATATAGGATAACACCTTCAAATGTTCTCAAATTTCCTTAATGGTTCTCTCTGTCCCATTAGTTATTCTGTTTCACACTTGAGGAAGAACTCACAGCAGTTCAAAAATGTTTGTGGTGATCTTTTTATCTTTTGTTTTTTTTTATATCACACTGGTTATAGGTTCTAAGAGTGCAGTATTTAACATAATTATATTACATCATCAAACAATAGTAAAAATAGAAGAAATAGTTTAATTTGCTATTGTTTTCATTTTCTATTTTAAATTTTACTTCATTATTTAGTTTATTTATTTTATCTTCTATCTTGATATAGTAATAAAAAGAAGAAAAGAGAAGTTGGAATTTACACGTATATAATTGTTAACCTCCATGTTAATAATTGTTTTTGGTGTACAGTACATAATGAAAACAGACATTTATTTTCAAAACCTGAAGATTCTAAGTAACTTTCAACTTTATCCAAAATTTCAATTTATGAAACATTTAATTCAGCTGGCTTTCTAAAATAGGATAAACTTTCATTACAAGTTTTAAGTTATTAGCAAATCTTTTAAGTAAGTTTTTAATTACATGTCAGTATTGAATCTAGTGTTCCAATATTGAGACCATAGTCTGCTTTTTCTAGCAGTACTTCATTTACTTTGGTTTTTGTTTTTTTCAAGTTTATTATTTAAGCCCGTTTTACTCTATTTTTTCTTGCAAGAATTCTACTATCTTGTTTGAACTTTCTCATTTATCAATAGCAAGTGTTGAATATTCTAAACTGACTAATGGTGCTCCCT